CATCAAAATAGAATCTTTCCTACGACGTGATAATTGTAGTTTACATCTCTTGTAGTTTCACGGGTCTCGCGAGATTTCTACTTTAGGTTTCGATTATTGTATTATAACCATGTGTGGGTGTTTGTGTAAAATAGCTTTATTTAACGTCCGCTTTCACCGAATTGATATCGCAGACAAATTACCGGATATATTGATTTACAAGTTATTGTGATAATAGTCATGTTTACATCTCTTGTAATTTCACGCGTCTCGCGAGATTTCTACTTTAGTTTTCGATTATTGTATTATAACCACATGCTTCCACCGAAGTGATATCGCAGACAAATTAACGGATATATTGATTTACAAGTTAACGGATAATATATTGATTTGGGGTGGTATATACTCTTACAATATGTGACATCTATGATTAGTTTATACATATTGTCGGCTCACATCAGTGGGATTAAAATGTTCAACAATGGAGAAACCCCGAGATAAACGCGTTGATTAAAATGATAATCGCTCTTATTGGATTGATGAATAGTCCGACAAAGGGGAAGCAATGATTTCTGTTGAAGATTAGATTGATGAATTGTCCGACAAAGGATTAAGTCAGTCAATCAAAGCAGATTAAGTAGTTAATCAAGGTAGGTGTATAGATGGTATAACACGATAAATACGTTGATCACTTAATTACCTAATCAATCCAGCTTATTATCAACGATAATCAGGTTGAGTGGCATTTATACACTCAGTAAACTTTATTAATTTAGGAATTTTGAATATTATTCACCATGTCTTGATGTCCGATTTGGCATATTCACGGTCAGACAATTTTGGGCATTTGGAAAAAAGATTCGGACAAGTCCGGAATATACAGGCAAAATCCCATCACTGGTTGAGACGTGTTCGGTTATATTATCTCGAGCGCTCGACTTATCGGGGATCACGTAGGTAAGACGCTGGCTCGCTAGCCTGGAGGTTGGGTGTTCGATCCCTGCATTGGCCGTTAAATTTCATCCCGATTTTTCGCAGTGGTTCCCCCTTGTCAGTGATGCAGGACGGAGGGCCTGACAAGGACAGCTGTCTCGTCGTTCAGATGGGACGAAAAACCGAGGACCTGTGTACACATTGGCGTGCACGTAAAAGATCCCTTGACAGTTGGAATTCGATATAAGAGTAGGACGTAGTGCCGCTGTCAGGGCAAAATTTCCCTCGTAGCACACTGTATGACGTATACCCGTCTTCATTCGCTCAGTTCGGAGCATAACAGTAAGACGTTAAACCCCATTTCATTTTCATTTCGCTCGACTTAATTATCTCGAGCGCCGACTTAATTATCTCAAGCACTCAACATAACTATCTTGAGCGCTCAAGTAGGGGTGACTATTGTTGGTAATTTTCACTATTGAGATAGTATAAACGGCTATTGCAATACTATTACTATTGGGGATTAAATATTGCGATACTATTGGACTATTGCGATAGTTTGATTTGTTTATTAGTTTAGGTTTAAAACAAACTGTCAGGTATACATTTATTATAACATTTAATCAAACTAAAATCAATGAAACACTGGAAAGTTCCATTTAATATAACCAGACTTCAACAAAAATAATTCTTGATAATTTGTTATGATGAATATCGTATTCTACCTACAAATAGGTACATCGTTTGGAAAACTGTTCATATTTAATTCACGTACAAATTGAAAATTCATGTCGGTAACATTCCTGAATAAATTACTGTATTGTTTTTTTTCGATGGATATAAGCTGATAGGCACCGTGGTATTTCTTCATAACACAATTTGTAGGGTTTTTTTTCTATCACGTAACTTAGTTGCAAATGATTTTATTCATTTGTCCATGATAGACACGTACGGCACATTGAGTAAACACGTGACAATCATGAATGGCTTTAAAGTTAAATTCCATACGGCTTTCAATGATAACGTCAATATTTTATGTGTATAAAATAAAAAATCATAACGGTAAACGCTATTTAAAACTCAAACTAGCATCGCTGGTTTACTGACCTAATTTCACCTGATATCACGTGTCATCGGTAAATTGGCATTGGAGAATCATAATATATTATTAATGACTGTTATTCGGTGTTCTATCCGAGGATTATATAACTAAAAACTGGTCAGTGAAACCATTAAATTATTAATTTAATATCTACCGGTACACCTGGAATTCATACAAAGCTTCGAAGGTGCGCAATAGATGAACAATCCATGCCGAGATTGCCTTCCTTCGATTGCCGCTTGGCGATTAGTGTTAAGAATAATCAGCAAGCTTGTTTTATTTTTTTTACCGGCCGATTATCAATATTACGAAATGATTCCGATTCCATACTTTTGATTTAGCTTTATCGTTTTTTTACAACCTCAAATTCAGCCATCTTTAAACAAATCAGAATGCACGATTAACCAGTTATATTTCCGCGATTCTCATGAATGAAGGAACTGTCTGGACTGGACTGATCGAGAAACAAATACCGACTGACTTATAATAAAAACACAATTTCGAACAAGTATTTTGGAAGTAAATATTCGACAAATACGAGAGAACTATTTAGGAATTTGTGCCATTTAACTTTTGCTATTACAAACTATCGAAACAATCGATAGTTTGGTTGACATATCAACGGATTAAACAAATTAGAGTATTGTTGGGTGGCACGAGGATTGGACTGTCGTATGATACCCAATTCATATGGATACTATGACTAGGCAGCAAAATATGGCACACTGAAAATCAAGTATTTTTCTGATTTGGAGCATTTTTGGACGGCTTTATCTCGAAAACTTTACCTACAATTTTTTTAACTTTCTCTATCGAGAGTCCCTTCGGTAGTCTTGTGCATGAAGCCATCCAATAAGACTTTGAAATAATTGGAAGAGGATAAAAATGGGACTGAAAATCGAAAACAGTTGAAAAATCATGAAATTTTGGAAAATGCTCTATTACTATTTTATTTTTACAGATTTTCAAAAAAGGTTATACATTCAGATAGCTGACCTAATTATGATTCTAACAATGTATAATTAAACATACATTATGCAAGAGCAAAATCTGATTATTGCAAGTCTAATTTAGGCTTCAGATGTTATAGAAATTATAAATTAGATCTTTATTTAAACAACAAGCCCAAAATCAACTCTGTAGACCCACGGATGGCTCGGCTACAGCTCGGATTTGAATAGGATTTCACTTATTAATTAATTCAAATATGGCGCATCCTGATGAGAATACTTCAGTTAGATCGAGGCTAAATGATAGAGTGTACTTAGCGAGGCCGCTGTAGAGCGTTTCCGCATGCCATTGAAAACTTTACTTGATAATCGAGATATGTAGGTGGAGTTAACGCCTGTCAATCAAACGATCGACCAAGGTGAAGGCACATTTCACTACCATTTCTAGTCAAATATTACAACGATGATAACTATGTTCAGAATAAAGTAATTTGACTGAAATTTTCAATATATTCTTCTTTTATCATCTACTTTTGAACTGTTATAGCAAGAATGGCCAATTCTCTATAAAAATCTCCCATAATGTATCTTTAATATGTATTGAGTTATTGAAATTTAATTGTCGATATTTTGACATATTTGCATTTTTGACACTTTTAAACATAGGATTTACCATGGCCATTTTATCTGATCAGATAATGTAGTATTTCATTATAGAGCCCTGCTACCATTCAAGTTCCGAAATCGGAAACTATCTCGACAATGATTCATATACCGGAAGTAGTCAAAAAAACGGGGTAACTAAAAAAGTTGGCAATCTTGCCAAAAACTTGAATTCTCCGTCAGATATTAGCAGACCAAACAATTAAAATGTTGTTGGATAGTCCCGTAGATGGACTATCATATGACATCTAAATGATACGAATTCAATTGTTAGGAAATAAATTATAGTATGCCAAAAAAATAGTATTTCCGTTTTAGAGCCTTTTGAGACACATTTTTCTCGAAACGACACATACTATTTTTCTTAAACTTTTCTTACTCATAGTCCTATCGTTGGTCTAGGGTGTGAATCCAAATATAAACGCATTGCAATAATAAAAGTGGTCCAAAAAGGGCCTCAATCTTTGAGAAAATTTGAAAAATCGTTAAATTACTGAAAATGGTCTTCTATTTTTCTTATTTATTTAAAACAGCTCAATGGATATTTCTGAAACTTCTGGTACAGAAAGTTAAGTATCCAAGCAACTTGTTAAAACCATAAGTAGTCGAAAGAATATCCAATATTTTGAAAAAATGTAAAAAGTAAAAAAAAGTGATTACTACGCCAGATTTCACTGAATCAAAACAAATAAAGTGTCATTTGATAGCCCCAATAATGGATGATCTTATGACATCCAAATGATACAAATTTGATGATTAGGCAATAGATTATGGCAGGCTCAAAATCTAGTATTTTCCTTTTTGGAGCCTATTCAGACGCTTTTATCTCAAAAACTACTCTTATTTCTTTTCTTAAACTTCTGTTACTCAGAGTCCTAGTGGTGGTCTAGGATGTGAATCCAAATTTTAAAAGCCTCAATATGATATAAAGGGTCCAAAAAAGGCATCAATCTTTGAAAAAAGTTGAAAAATCGTTAAATTACTGAAAATACTCTTCTAATTTTCTTCTTTCTTTTTTTTTTACACTGCTCAATATATGTTTCTGAAACTTCTGGTACAGGAAGTTAAGTTCCCATACCACTTGTTATATCTAACCCGACGGTGATCTGTAAACCAGAAATAGTCGAAAAAATATTCAATATTTTTATAAAAAAAAAATCAGTAAAAAATAAGTACTCTTGTGAAAATCGCAATTTCTCCATTGGGTGTCACCAGATCAAAACAATTAAAGTATCGTTTGGTAGCTTGATGTATAAGCTATTGTATGACACTCTTCCTGTCGAATTCCTGAAAGCCGGTTCAGTGCTGCTTGCAGGTCTAGTTTTGATTATATCTAAAAATCTATTATTGAGATTAATTTTCTTTCATTTCAGTATAAAAATAAATTCTGGTCAGATTATTCCTATAGTTGTAGAACAAAGTGTGGAGTTCTTGAAAGAAAATGGTTAGTTTTATCAAAACTCATAAATATTTCATTAAACATACATTATGCAAGAGCAAAATCGGCCTATTGTAGGTCTTTCTTTAGGCCTGAAATGTTATAAAAACTATTAATTAGACATTAATTAACTTATCCAGACCATAATCAGCTCTCGATGTCAAGGCTAGCCTTCGATATTTGTTGGATTACAGTCCGATTTGCTGCAAAACTTTCCTTCGTGATTAATGATTAAATGGATAATCAAGACTATTAAGTTTGGCTTATCGTCTTCAGTAATGATGATCGAGGCTAAGCGGAACTTTCATCCGCTTGGTTTTCGGTTCATAGTGGATCAATTTGACTGAAATTTTCAGCAAGTTGCCTTTACATTATGTAGTTTTTAACTATTATAGTGAGAACTGCCAACTCGTTATCTAATCTCCCATAATGTATCTTTAAGTAACTTGACAAATTTTCTTTATAGAAATGGATACCATGAGCATTTTGTTAACCTTATTTTAAAAATTTGTGGATAGAGTTGGAGGAACTCAGGGAAAATACAAAATCTAATAAACTATTGAAATAAAACTAAAAAGATGGAAATATTGTTTGAATTATTTTGTAGCTTTAGATGTAGAAGGTATATTCCGTAGATCAGCCAGTGCTTCAGTTTTAAAACAAGTTCAACAAAAATATAATCAGGGTAGGATTAAAATCAGATATTATTCTATTATAGTATTAGTATTGTTTTCTGATAATAACAAACACTTCAAAGGACTTTAAATATTCAACATTTACAACTTGTTGTAATGGTTACAGTCATGTTATTGATAATTTTGTGGTGTCTATTTTTCTTGGAAACCAAATATGATTTATCATTTACTTGTTCAGAAAGCTAACAATTTTTATTGTTAGTCTTATATTGGGTCATTCCATGTTAAGTGGACCAAATTTCGGAAAGTTGGGAACATGAACCCCTCCCAAAAAATTATAAAAAATATATGTTATAGTATATGGCCTTAAGCTAACAAACCCAAAATTATACCTTTTGAAATTAAGGTACTGAATCAGTAATTTTTTTCAGGTTTTCAAGTGCGTTAAAACTCACATTTCTAAATAGGTGTAGAACACTAGAACTTTTAGTGTAGGTTACGAATTTGGTATCACATGCAATGTGCGATTCACACAGTTTATGCCACCAGGTGGCAAAATGTGGAACAAATGAACTATTCACTTTTTTTTTTTCAGGATTTCCACAGCCTCTGGCAAAGTCACTATTATATATACAACCTCCAAAATTGGCAGAGTTAATGTCAGATTATCTTTTTATACGCCCACATTTTCATGTGGACGTATATTGTCGTCGCCCCTGTTCGTCCGTCCATCCGGACGTCCATCCGGATGTCCACAATTGTTTGTGGACACTCTACAGGTCACAATTTTTATCCGATTTCAACGAAACTTGAAAAATAGCTTAATCTCCCTAAGATCTCCTTTCGATATTGGCATGTATCGGACTGTAACTTCATGGATTATGGCCCCTGATTGTACAAAAAATCACGTTTTTAGTTTGTGGACCCTATAGAGGTCACAATTTTTTATCCGATTTTGTTAAAACTTGAAATGTAAGTTTATAACACAAAGATCTCAGTTCCTTTCGATATTCGCGCATATCGGACTGTAACTTGGTATATCAAGGTTGTGGACCCTCTAGAGGTCACAATTTTCTTCTGATTTTGATGAAACTTGAAATTTAAGTTTATAACTCAAAGATCTCGGTTACATTCGATATTCGTGCATATATAATTGTAATTTCCTGAATTATGGCCCTTGATTGTAGGAAAAATCACTTTCTTTTTAGCTTGTTGTCTATCCATCTCTCGAAAATGTGGGCGTATCCTGCCTGGCAGCCGCTGGTTGTATTTATCATCTACAGGCTGCAATTTTGAATCGATCATCTTGGAACTTGGCATATTTTATTTTGGTGCATGCCTGTGGCGGTGGCACACTCACTTTTTGTTAATATTTAGTCTCTAAGGCCCATATTTTCGAAAGTGGATTAGTGCTAATCATAGATTTAATCTCTGATTTTCTGACCAGCCATATTCTGAAAAGCTGATTAAATTTTATGCTAAGATTTTTATAAACTTTGATTAGCCTAATCATTGGGTTAATCAATGACTAGTACTTAATCATTGACTAAATCACCCCAATATTTAGTCATCTCAGGGGGCTAGTTTAAGGAAGGATTAAGTGCAAGAATATGCAATTACAATGCATTGAATTTTATAGAAATGATTATTTTTTATTGAATTCAGACACATTGCACTTATATTTTGCAACAAAAGCAACAAATTCACATTCACCGTAAATTCTGTTAAAAAAGATTTTTGGAATATTAAACATTCTATATGACATAAAACATAAATAATTATGTATACTTTAGTCAAAATGAATAGACTACAAGATAAAAATAATTTTTAGAAATGTCAAAGAACCTTTTAACAAAAGAAACTGCAAAGAAAGGAGCACATCAACCTCTTAACATAAAAGGGAACCAACAGCAGCTAAGTCGTCCGGGCAGTTAACAAGGGTTGTCACATATTTCTTTCTTTGGTCTGTAATAAAAACATTTACGACTCTAAAATCTGAGTACGAGCAACAACCTATTAAGTAATTATCAGAAATCAATAGAATTTGTTTAGCTTTTAGTTCTGCCCTATACAAACTTTTACTATACAAACATTTAGTATCAAGGACCATAACTCTTGAAGTAATTATCGGAAAGAATCGACAATCAATAGGCATCCCCTTCTCATGAAGTTAAACACTGTGTATAAATTTCAAATCGGTCGGATATTAACTTTACAGTTTAGAGCATCGACAAGATTTTTCGAAGTGATCAAGGGCCATAACTCTGGCAGTAATTATCGGAAATCGTTGGAAATCAATAGGCTTCCTCAACTCCTGACCTGAGACATTATGTATAAATGTATTTAATTGGATACCAACTTTACCTCTAGAGCGTCGACGAGGTTTTTCAAAGTGATCAAGGGCCTTAAAGCTGACAGTAATTATCGGAAATTGTTAACAATCGATAGGATTCCTTATCTCGTAACCCTAAACACTGTGTATAAATATAAAATCAATCGGATATTAACTTTAGCCTTTAGAGCGTCCAAAAGATTTTTCGAAGTGATCAAGGGCAATAACTCTGGTAGTAAGTATCGGAAATCAATAGGTCTCTTCGTCTCGTGGCCTTAAACACTGTGTATAAATTTAAAGTCAATCGTATATAACCTTTAGCCTATGGAGCGTCCACAAGATAATTCAAAGTGATCAAGGGCCATAACTCTGGAGGTAATTATCGGAAATCGTTGGAAATCAATAGGCTTTTGTATCTCATGGCCTTAAACACGGTTTATAAATTTCAAGCCCAGTATTGAATACATGAAGAACCAATAGAAATATTGAAGCATGGTATAGAAAGAAAAGTCAAACGTTTCTTTTGATTTAGCATAATCTTTGATTATTTTTTTTTTTCCAGTGTGGCCACAATGGTCTTCTTTTTATCAATAACAAAGAATTTGTTACATTCTTAGTTTTAGCTGTTCAAACATTGTTTCTGATGTAAGAGCTGTAAGAAATGAAAGACAGTCGAGTTCTTTGAAGCTTGATAAATGTAACTCAACGTATCACGTTTTTATACAATAATTAATGTTTCTAGAGAGAGAGAGAGGGGGTTTAACGTGCACTCGACAAAGACTAGGTCATTTCGGGACTAACATGGTTTAATTTTATTTCAATAATTCGTTTGTGCGTAGTCGTCTTTAGCAGTGGGAGTAACTCGGAAGACCCGGAGGAAACCCATGAGGTTTTACAGGTAACCCTACTCCTTGTCACGTACAACCGGGGATTCAAAACTACGCCAGTTGACTCAATGACAGTTTCTAAATGACATTTTATATGTTTGGCACTCAGTTCAACAGTTGTATAAAAAAAATGCATCTTCTTGTGTCTCAATAGGTCAAGCAATTCGTAAAAATTTGGTATAAATAAATAATAATTATTTTGTAATCTTTCAAAATCTCCCATATCCAAAGAAAACCAGAAACCCACTACAATTTGGGAAAGTGTAGTATTACGAGAAGCCTAAAAGCGGATAAAAATAAGAATACAGATATAGCAAGTTTAAGCAAAATAGACAAATAGTGTTAATTTCGGATTTTAATAGAAAAGAGGGGGCATAAAATTAATCTGTTCGTGCGCTTCTATTGGTCAGGAGAACAAATTTTAATTTAATTTAACTTTGATGTTAGCAACAGAAATTCATGTTACGATTACTAAAAGGGAGCTACGGTGGTGCAGGGCGGAGGGCCTTGCAAGGGACAATGAAGAGTTGTTTGGATTGGATGACAAACCGAAATACCCTGTACACATTGGAGCGCACGTAAAATAACCCTTGGCATTTAGAATTTGGTATAACTGTGATCCGTAGTGCCGCTGTCTGGGCAAACTTGTCCTCATAGCACACTGTATGGCGTATGTCCGCCTCCCTTAGCCCAGTTGGGGCAGAACAGTAGGGACGTTAAACCTCCATTTCATTTCGAATACTAAAAATATCCAAACTCTATTTCTGTCTCCCTTGGCCCAGACTGCCAGTTGAAGCAGAACAGTAGGACGTTAATCCCCCATTTTATTTCATTTTATTTCGAATACTAAAAATATGCTAACTCTATTTTTTCTTGACCATCTTTTTCATACATTTTATTTCTTTCCTGTCCACCCATATGAACCCCTTTGACTTTGGGGACCCCAAAATAATTTCACGGGCTCTAGGATTGGAAAAACTGTTCTAAAACATGTACTTTTCTAATCAATGACAAAAGTCTTTTTAATCACTGATTACATTTAATCATTGATTAAATGTTTAATTATAATCAAAGTTTAAACATGAATTTTAATCATTGATTACAAAAAAAATATAGTCAGAGATTAGCTAATCAGACTTTTGTGAATACCAAACTTAGTCAACCACTAATCTCTAACTAGCTAGTTACTGATTAAACCTTATCACGGATTATTTTAGACACTGTTCGAAAATATGGGCCTAAATTTGGCAAAACAAAGCCTTCTTTGCCTCTTGTCATATTACAGTCATTGCAGCTATTTCATATTTCTTTGTATGTCTCTGCGTTTTGCCTACAGGCTGCAATTCTTAATAGATCGTCTTGAAAACTTTTCATATACATTCCATATACCCAAAGGATGACTGTTATTATTTTTGTTTTTAAAACAAAGGTTAAATTAAAATGATACTCCCTGGATCCCAAAAGAGTCTTTATTCTTATTCTATGTTAAGAATTGATCTAAAATGACAAATATGAGGGGCTCTTTCAGAAATAATTTCAGTCTAAATGTTAAACATAAATATTCCAATTTGTGAAGTGTATTAACCATTTTGTTCTCATTTTGGAGGCAAAATAATATTAGAACAATACAATGTACATCCAAAATGATTACATATTTGTAATCTAAATAGATATGTTTGAGGAGTATAGGTCATTCAAAAGTTATTTTAAAATCAAAGTGAAAGGTCAATTTTGATAATAGGCATTAAAACTTCATCACGGCACAGATTTCAAGTGCCAATTAAAAATATAAGCCATCAAATACACAAGATGGACTTTAATGTATAGTAGGGTAAATGAAGTTTTCATTATCAACCTTAAATTTGGACATTGAGTGTGATGCTAAATTCGTAATCTACACCAAAAGTTGTCTTAGATTACAAAATTAGAGAGTTCCACTCCTATTAGAAATGTGAGTTTAAAGCACCTGAAAACCTGAAAAAAATTACTGAATTAATGATCTGTTTCAGCACCAAAATTTCAAATGGCCATATCTTGGCGCGTGTTTGACCTAGAGAGGTAAACTTTCGGATTTGTTAGTTTAAGGCCATATACTATAATATATACTTTTTATAACTTTTTTGGAGGGGGTCATGTTCCAACCATTGGTCCAGTTGATAGGGAATGACCCTATTAGTAAACATAACTTATTAAATTTTTAGGTCAACCGGTTGATTTTCATGAAACCGGGGATGTCCATGTTCCAGCTGTACTATTAAAAACATTCCTTCGTGAACTCCAAGATCCAATATTAACATATGATTTATATGAACCAATCACAAGACTGCACTGTAAGTACTATCGACATCTTTTATATTAAGCTCACAATAATGGAAAGAAAGAAAAAAATCATCTCATTTCAATATCTCGTTTTGCCGATATTAGGTCAGAGGCAGTCATTAACACATATAGATACCATCTTCACACGTCGCATAATGACATGTTATGCAAATTCTCTACATAGATATTTTATTGCTTTAATCTCATGTATACAAGGCTCAATATATAGTGTTTGGTTTAAGTATAATAATGTGAATAATTACTGAATCTTATTATATTTATATTTGTACAGTATTAGATAGTAATAAACAGTTAGTAGAGGTTCAGAGATTATTACGTGAAGAAATGCCAGAAGATAACTATGTTGTACTCAAATATGTTATGCAGTTTCTAACATTGGTAAGTACTTTGTAGGTAGTACTCAATCTAGGGAAATTTTTAAAAACAAATTCTATTGCTTTTGTGTACTTTCCCTCGCAGGAAATAATAGTTCAGGTCAGTAGTTGAAGTAGAAATTTGTTGTAGAATTTTATCAAAGATGGAAGATGATTGCGATTAAATAAAATTAATGGTTCATGGTTTCTTGGCCTCTACAAATCGTAATGTAGGAATTGATACAGTGTTGACTATAATCATGGAGTTTTATTCTGAAAGTGTCTACATTTTTCATCTGATTTAATGAGGCTTATTGACTTTATATTCAGGGTGTTGAATTTACTCATTGCTCTTATATGAGTTATTGCCCAAGATTTACTGTCAATAGTAGTTTATGAACACGATAGATACAATCTTTTTCCTCTTTTATTAATAAATGAAACTTGGTTTATTGCCATATTGCCCCCATATATATGTCATAGACCCTTTTATTAAGTACACAGCCCTCATAAATGTTACTGACAATCATGAATGAAACTGGATAATTATACATTCCTAAACAACATGAGATAAATGTAGTGCTTTGAAATGTGACATTATGAGAAGTCATTTAGCCCAGTAGTGGTCCTCTGACAAAATAAAAAAACAAAAATAAAATCCTCCCTCCTGCATCAGATTTTTGGTAAGGATTGTCTGAGAACCAGAATATTTTTTTGGATGGCTTCAAAATATCTGCTTTTATGGTTGTGATCAAAACGTTTTGTGCATGTACTTATTATTTAACTGTATTTTTCAGGTGGTAGCCAAATCTGATGTCAACAAAATGTCACCAATGAATCTTGCTATTGTGTTTGGTCCAAATCTGGTATGGCCAAAAGGTCAATCTAACCTCCTGTCTTTAAACCATGTCAATATGTTTGCATTGTTTCTCATAGAAAAATTTGACCTGGTCTTTCTTAGATGATGATAAACTTCATAAACATATACACATGTACACTATGTAATATATCAATTTGTTTATAGCCATATAGATATATATATATTTATGGTATTGTTTATTCTATTTAATATGTGTATAAATAGATTTAGAGGTTTTCCTGTAATTATATATATAAGTATAATTATGTTGTATATATTACAATGTACCTCTAAATATATTTTACATGTAATGTATTTGTAATTCTTTATATTTTAAATTACATTTTCAAACAATTGTGGATCTTTTCCATGAATGAAATTAATGTAATACTGATTCTTTTCCTTGAAAGAAATTAAAGTTATACTGATTCTTTTCCATAAAGGAAACTAAAATTATACTGATTCTTTTCCATGAAGAAAAATTGATATGTACATTTATGCTGCATTCTGTAATGATGGAGAAAATTGTATTCCCGACTTTGTGACATTCACAAATATGGTAGATCACAAATATGGTAGACACTACTAGCGCACATTCTAACTTTTTTTCAATTAAACTATTGAATGTAATTGCTAAACTCTTTGATGTTTTTTTTTATAAATTCACTCAATTTGATGTTGAGCAGCCTGAACGTATTTGTTAAGGCATTTATTGTCGGCTAGTATCACCAGTTTTGTTGCTTAGGGTGAGGTCACTTTTTTGTGAAAATAATTTTTCTCCAATTTCTTCACTTTCAAAAGTCAAACTGCCTATTCAAAACTTCAAACTCGGAACACCATTTTCTTCAACAGTCCAAATTACAGCATACAGATATATATACACGTAGATGTATAATAAAAGTTTTTGATATAATGAGACATCTATTATAAAGAAATTAAGTGTTTTCCTATGTGAATAATAGATTATAAGAATATTTTATAAGTATTTTTTAGATCTTATACACACACGGATGATAGTTCTCCAGTTTTGATATGATTATGTATTTGTGTTAATATGTACCTCACATTTTAAAAGAGCCTTACTGTGAAAACAAACATATCAACTCCATAAATTTACCACATATGATTATGAAGGTTTTTTTTGTCAGACTTCTATGTAAGAATTTCACTATATGAATATTTTATAAATTCAGTTGACCTGTAGATTGATTTGAATTGGGTTTGATGTAGATGGTGTTATTTTATTGTTTCAATACTTTTTGTAAAAAAGCTTTATCCAAATAACCTGGTTGATATTCTCTGGGTTTTCCAGCTTCATCCCACTTGTAAAGATGGCTACGCACAGGCAAATTATTGAAATACAAAAATATACCATGTTTGTCCAAAAATGACCTAATTTGTGGTGAGTGGACGTTTAATCTCTCTGTGCAAAAATTTATACATTTATTGAAATGTGTTTGGAAGATTATTTCTACGAGTACAATGTTTTATAAAAGAAATTTATGATAAAAAATGTTGATCACATTGAATGCTAGACAGGCTACTTTCTTGGATATTTTTCTACAGGAAAGTATCTCAAATTGACGTTAATTGTGTATAATGGTTATTTCTGCAGCTGTTTAGGCAACAAAAATACATATTCGAAACAAATTTAAATCGTTTCTTTGAATCTCACCCAACTAGTTATACTCCAAAAGTGCATTGAAGCATCCAAGATAATTGCAGTTCCTTCAAACTCGTATATTTTTTAACAATTTCTCCCAAAAATCTCTCTTGTATATTAAAACACATAAAAGTCTGAAAAAATGTATAAAATATGGTTGAAATTATTGAATTTGAAAAATATAAATTTGATGATAACTTTCCCAGTAAACAGTGTGTTAGTTTTGTAGAGTCTATCTATTTTATTGTAGTTATTTGTAGTAATATTTTTCTTGCTTTTTTATTGAATTGAAATAGATGGCAGCTGTTATTTCTAGATAAAAAGATCTATTTATTTGTGTCTATTTATTTCAAATGTCCCAGGTTTCTTTAATGTAAAATAAAATTTGAGCTTTTATTTACTTAATTTAGATAGTTGCTCGTACACTATCTATGTAACTACAGTATTTGCTTGTCCCTACCCTATGTTACCTAAGTGTATTCAGTGCATTTGCAAAATTATGTACATGCAACTATTAACCATAAAGACTGTAATTCATATACATTTGATTAATCATAGATAGTGCACATGTACTTTTAATTTAAATACATTTGCTGACAATAGATGTTAATTGAAGTACATTTGATTGACCATAGGGCATAGAATTTTCATATATAAATTAAATTGGGCTTTTGGCTCTGCAAAATAAAGACTTGGAGTGAAAATAATCTGTAATGAAATTTAAGATAGTTTGCTTGTATACCACCATGTATATCTTTTTTTTATACTCCCACATTTTAATGTGGGCGTATTATCTTGTCACATGGCCTATCAGTCTTGTCAACAGTTGACATATGAATGTGGTAAATGCTACAGTTTTTAACATATTTTTTTCAAATGTGGTGTAAAGCATTGTAGTCATGAGAGGACGAACCCTATTGATGTTCAGCATTCAGCTACCTTCCGCTCCAAAGTTACACCCACCTTCCCGAAAACATTGAGAGCTGGACAGACTACATTTTTTAACTCATCTTTTGGAAATTGGGCCATAAAGGTATGAATCCTATTGATTTTCAGCAATCCGCAACCTTCTGTTCTGTAGTTACCCCCCTTTCCAAATATTTTATGAATGCAATGGAGGCTACAGTTTTGGTGCGAGCATTAGGACTAAGAGGATGAACCCTATTGATTTTCAGCACTCAAGACCTTTCTGTTCCAGAGATATATTGCATGTCTGAAAAAGCTTTTGAAAACAATAGAGATCAAATTTCTTGGGATCCTTATCAACATCTAAGTTTTCCATTTAGACATGCTGCTGTCTATGGCTGTCTTTTTTTTTTCTTTTTCTTTTTTTGAGACATAGCTGCTATTGTGGGCATATTTCCATGCTTTGTGTGACTTTTTTTTTTCTTTTTTTTTTTTACTCAATTCAAGAAACATTATTTCTTGTCTAGAATGTATAATGAATTTATTGCATATATGATTTATATTGCTCAAGTAGTATAATAGATAGCCATAAACACACTTATAGTTTGAAATGAAAAAGAAAAAAGCTTAAAATAGCTACTTTTGTACATTATTATTTTAGTTGGGCTTATGTGCGAATTTTACTATTATTTTAAAATGACATTGATTTTATGACTAAGATTTATTTAATTATTGAGTATACCTATAAGATAAATGTTAAACAAATGTCACTTGGGTTATATTTTTAAAGATATATGATGAATTGAGATAAATTGTTTAGAAGGGGCTTCTAATTAGTGGAGGAGTCACTTGTAATCATTTGTTTTTGGAAATAAATATATTGATATATAACATGCTGTGTTTTATATATGTTTTCTTGCATCTTTAACGTGACCTTCATCTCATTCTTTGACTATGTAAACTGACTTGTATTATTGAAGCAATCTGAAAAACAGTAATTTTATAAATTTCCCTTCTCACAAATGTGTGCCATTCATTGAGCTAACAATTTATCATAGAGACTTATATTTCTAATCAATGAGAGACATTTAGCAATATAATACTGTAATACTTGGTGTGGATATATACAATCACAATGGTTTTTGGCTGCAAAGTTCAACAAGATTTCACAAGACCACGTTCGATCCCTGCATTGGCCGAGAAAGTTCATCCCGATTTTCCGGCATGGTTTCTCCTTGTCAATGATGCAGGACGGAGGGCCTGACAAGGACAGCTGTCTAGTCGTTCGGATGGGACGAAAAACTGAGGTCCTGTGTACACATTGGCGTGCACATAAAAGATCCCTTGGCAGTTGGAATTCGATATATGAGTAGGCCACAGTGTCGTTGTCCGGGCAAAAATTCCCTCATATGACACTGTATGGCGTATGCCCCTCTTCATTAGCCCAGGTTAGGAGCAGAACAGTAGGACGTTAAACCCCATTTCATTTCATTTCATTTCACAAGACCACATGTATGACTGATTATGATTTACTAAAGATCCCAGGCAGAAATCACTAGCAGTTGTATTATTCACAATCCTGACAAAGTACATCTGCCAGAGTGTCATTAATGCAAATTTGTGAACGGATATGTTGCCATTATTACCGATTTTCCGTAATAGACCAATTATGATTTTAGAAGATGAAATGTTTTTTAAAATGGTCATAATAAATGTAAGTATTGACTAGAAAATGGCAGACTGAAAATGAATGTGATACCTTTAAATGTGACAAGGCTGCAAATTTAGACACCAGGGAATTGCGAGTTTTGCTCACTCTTAATAATCTTCAGTATTTGCTTAGTGTTTGTTTCTGCAAATAATAATAGCTTATATACATTACATTAAAAACACTTATATGGATATACTACTTCTGAATTTATTAACATGGTACGTTTCGATACACATACAGATATCGTAACAATCTTTTAATAAAACACAGGTCTGATTTAGAAACCGACAATACAGATCAGGGCATTTGGGTAGAAATTAATATTCATAATAAATACTTTTTAATTGGCACTTTTTATAGACCACCAAATTCCACTGTTCGATTAGATAATTCTATTTTCAATTCGTTTTCATTGGCAGCAGCAGACGACATAAACAATATCTTTATATTAGGTGATTTTAACATTGATCTCTTTACAAAATCAAATACTTTTATTCATTCGGCAAATGTTCTTTTCGATTTTAAACAAATTATCAAGGATCCAACCAGATATGGTAATAATGGTAACAATACATTGATTGATTTAATTTTAACGAATTGTTCCGGTTATATTTTTGATTCAGGTTGCTTAGATAATTCCTGTAGTGATCACTGCCATGTGTATTGTCGGTTAAATTTTCATCGTCTGAAATCAATTAGCTTTACACGTACTATATGGAATTATGATAAGACTGACTTTGACCAACCACAACGTGACGCTGGGAGTATCTTATGGGACCGGGTCCTCCGGTGTGATAGTTTGAGTTGACTCCTGGTGTGTGTTTTCTCCTGGGCACTTGCGCATGTCCGAAACTGATGTTTGCCTTATCAACGAAACTATATCTACTTCCTGCAGTGTGAGTTGGTTCCTGACCATTGGTCAGTACAGGAAAAAATATATCATGTACTTGATTAGAGTTTTGTCATTAATAAAATACTTGTTGACGTGATTAGCTATTGTTTTAGTGATCAGTAGTTACACGATCAACGGATCTAAGTTGATTGGCTTGAAATTGATACATCGTTCGTGATTTGTTGCCGTTGTTTTTTTTTTAGTGATTAGTCGTTCTACACACGTACGATCAGTGGAAACCATACAAATTGATGATTGGCTTGAAATTATCAATTATTTCACCTCCAAAGGAAGATTAAGGCCTTTGATATTTCGTGGCTTCATTTATCACAAATATAAAAGTATGGAATTTCTTATTCCGATTTCTTTAACATAAATATAGATTTATTACACCATCCCATACGTACATTCAAACATACATGTAGACAGCCCAAATACAAGAGAGAATGTTCGCATTGTGGACGGGTATATATACTAAATAATAATAATAAAGATCGTCAATTTGCATCTTCTCTTAGTGGTAATATTGTAAATATATAGTCTATAATATATTGATTTGACCGTAAGAACATCTTAGGGGAAATCCTATCACGAGGAGTCAATGCACACCGCGTCTGTAAGGGTGTGAGGTGACTCCTACAACTGCGCATGCGCCAAACGGTAATCACACACCAGGGACCATCTGAAACTGCCACACCGGTTTCCTCCCACTGCTAAAGACCCCTATGCGCAAGCGAATTATTAAAATAAAAATAAACCATATGTTAGTCCCGAAATGACCTAATTTGTGTCGAGTGGACGTTATAAACCCCATCTCCCTCTCTCTCTCTCTCTCTCTCTCTCTCTCTCTATCTATCTTATGGGACTCCAGTATTAATAACAATTCTATTGATATTACATGTGCCGCCTTCACAAGCGAGTTAATAAATTTGGCAAGAACACATATCCCAAACAAAACTGCAACCATTAGATCAAAAGACAAACTTTGGATGAACAACACTATTCGGAAAATGAGTAAAAAGAAAAACAAAATTCACCGGAAAGCAGTAAAATGAAACTTGGACCTCGACTGGCAAAAATTTAGAAATATAAGAATGACTATATTAGCTTGATTAGAAAATGCAAAAAAGAATATTATGAAAAATTAGACCATAAATTAAATGATAATCAAAATTTTGGCAAAAAGGATTGGTGGCATATATTCAACTCGTTTGTGAAGGGTCAAAGATCGGAAAAGGGAGATATTCCGCCTCTTATGAATAATGGGGTTCCATATTTTAATCCGAAGGACAAAGCAAATTGTTTAAACGAATACTTTATTAACCAATCACAGCTTGATTACACAAATGCACAACTTCCTGAACTCGAACAAAACCCCTCTTCACATTGTCACCTAAAATTAACACCTAAAGAAGTTGAAGACATGATTTCTATTATTGATACTTCAAAAGCTCCAGGCCCAGATAACATCAGCGGAAAATTCCTAAAATCCATCTCCCTCGAAATTAGCAAACCTTTATGTAACATATTTAATCTTTCACTTGAGCTAAAAACCGTTCCTAATATTTGGAAATCAGCAAACGTAACAGCAATTCATAAAAAAAGGCGACCCATCACTATGCGGAAATTACAGACCAGTTTCTTTATTGAGCATTATAATCAAAATTTTCGAAAAATGCATCTACAAACATGTATTTAAGTGGTTTTTTGCAAGGAGACTCAACTACTTATCAACTAATAGATCTTACGCACTTCTTCTGTCAAGCCATCGACCAAGGCCAATATACGAGAACGGTGTTCTGTGATATCGGTAAATCTTTTGACATGCCGCACTCTGCCATAAGCTTGGGGCCGTTGGGATCAGAGGAGACTTGTTAGAATGGTGAAGAGACTACTTGTCTAACAGACAACAGAAGGTTATTGTCAACGGAACCTCCTCTGAGCCATTAACGGTCCCTGCTGGTGTTCCACAGGGATCCGTTCTCGGTCCATTACTTTTCATTATATACATCAACGATATAGTAAACAGTATAAAATCAAATATTAGATTATTTGCTGATGACACTAGTTTATATATAAAAATAACTGACCCAACCGAATGTGCGGAAGGCTTAAATGGTGATCTAGAGAGAATAAACCTTTGGGCTAAGACGTGGCTTGTATCTTTTAACCCGCTGAAAACTGAAATCATAGCACTAGCAAATAAAAAGAATTTATTTCTCCCGACACTAAATCTAGACAATGTTGCAATCAAAGAAGTTTCTGAGCACAATCACCTGGGGCTGACTTTCCAAACAAACTGTAAGTGGGATACTCATATAAATAAGATTTTGGCCAAAACAAGTAAACTTGTAAATTGTCTTCGCTCGTTAAAATATAGGTTAAGTCGTAGATCTCTCCAAACCATGTATACATCATATATTCTTCCTCATTTCGATTACTGTGACGTTATTTGGGATGGGAGTACCGCCGAACTAACACATAAACTAGAACTTTTACAACTAGATGCACTCAGGACTATATGCGGTGCTGTGAAAGGTACAAGTCACCAAGTGTTATATAAGGAAACTGGATTTATTACACTGCAGGAGAGAAGAAGGCGACATAAATTAATTTTATTCTACAAAATCATAAACCATATTACTCCCGAATACTTATTTCAACTGATACCACCTAATATAAATTCGTATCGCCTACGAAACCAAAGTAACATTCCAACATACTTCTGCAGAACTTCTTTATTTTCTTCTTCTTTTATACCATCTACAATTCGAGAATGGAATCTACTCGATCTTTCTACTAGAAACTTACCTACTTTATCTTCTTTTAAATCTAAACTCGGCTACCTTGATCAAATTATACCTTCATCATACTACTCTGGCAGCAGGAAAAATCAAATTCACCATTCTGGCCTTCGACTCGCTTGCAGTGATTTAAACGGACATCGTTTTCTCAGGCATATTTCTGACAGCCCAACATGCGATTGTGGTCACGCCTTTGAAGACTCTGAACATTTTCTTTTAATTTGTCCCTTACGTTCAGATGCACGATCTGCAACAATATCAAAACTTCAAAAACTTTATCAAAATTCTCAAAATTTATTATTCGGAACTGAAGACAGAAACAATTCTGAAGAAATTTTTTCGGCAGTACATAACTTCCTCGACATCTCCCAAAGATTTTGAAAATTCCTTATGTAAATTCATGAAATATAAACATTCTGATTGTGGTTTGTACATATCGTGTATATAGTGTATATAGCCATCTTATAATTTAATCGTTTACTTTACTTTACTTTACTTTACTTTTCATTATATATTTATGTTTGTACTTTTATGGAGAGGGGGTATATAGGCTTTTGCCTGTTCTCCAATCCAGTTTCTGTGAATAAATATTGTTTAGAAAAAAAAAATTTATAACAAAAATGTGGTGCAATATATAGTTAACAATTGGAAACCATGTAACAGATTAATCATTAATTAAGAATTAACAAGAAGAGAGAAGTAATAATATGGATAAATAATTACAATTAATTGTAATTAATCTAATTACAATTATAATTAATCTCTTATAATTATTAGTTTGATCTGCTAAATTCAAATAATTTCTAATTGTTATCAATACATTACAATCTTTCAATTTGTTAATCCTTTGTAATTATTTATCCATATTATTACTTCTCTCATCTTGGGGGGGGGGGGGGTGGATGGCCGAATGGTTAGCACGTGCGTGCTGTATCATAAAACCTGTCATTGAGTCAACTGGCGTGGTTTCGAATCCCCAGTTGTACGTGACAAGGAGTAGGGTCGCCTGTCCATCCTCGTGGGTTTTCTCCGGGTCCTCCGTTTTCCTCCCACTGCTAAAGACCCCTACGCGCATGCGAATTATTGAAATAAAATTAAACCATATGTTAGTCCCAAAATGACCTAGTTTGTGTCGAGTGGACGTTAAACCCCATCTCTCTCTCTCTCTCTCTCTCTCTCTCTCATCTTGTTATTAATTCTTAATTAATGATAAATCTGTTACATGGTTTCCAATTGTTAACTATATATTGCACCACATTTTTGTTATAAATCATTATTTGCTTGATAACAATATCTGTATGTGTTTCGAAACGTAGCATGTTAATAAATTCAGAAGTAGTATATCCGTATAAGTGTTTTTAAATTGTGAAATCTACCTCTATATGTCTTATAAGGATTATATACATTATATTGTTTCAAATCCACAACTGGTCAAATGGCAGATCCATATATATCTGGTTCAAACCTATTTCTAAATTTGCTCCGTTTCAACCGTGAAACAAATGAAATTTATGAATCGTTTGATGCATACATTCGGTAGACTGGTTAATTGAAATTATGAATTTACTTACACTTTCAGAATTGTATAAAGGGCAATAACTACATTTAAACACTGGTCGATGGGTAACCGTTAAGTATGGTTTAATGGTCGAGAGCGAGACATTAAATAATATATTGATACTGGACGAGGCGTTAGCAGAGTGTTGTTTCAATATATTATGCAATGTCTTTAGCTCGAGAGTCGAGACCATTAAACAACTTAAAATACAGACACTATCCGCACATGCTTTTCAATGAAATACGTCACGCGAGTCCAATATTTGATCTAGTATAGATAATGTACGATTGGCAAGTTGCCCTTACATTATTGGAAATAATGGTACGCCAACATCAAAGGATGACGTCACATCTGTATTTTATTAATCTCAGTTAACCCAACACACCTTCACAATAATCCGATAATTAATATTGTAAAGAAAATAATAAGCTTAGCTGAAATTTATGTAATTATATATTAACATGATAATCTCATTGCAAAGTTGAACTAAATCATTAGTCAGTCAACTTTGAGCAAGTACAACTACACCATGGATATAGAAGCACAACTACGAGACATTATAAGTGAAAGGTAAATAATACCAGTAATATAATAATACGTATGAAGAATTTTAATATTTTACAAACAAACGGTGGCATATCGATTTTTGTCTTGTAATATTAATCCCAGAAAGCAAGAAAGGGTGGGTTTCTCGTCATTAGCTAAAAGTTTCGCATGCACTTGTGTTTTTTTTTACGTTTTCCGGTAAGTTTTTAAAAATATATACTGTATATGGTCAGATTTGTGTACATATCAATATTTGTTCGAAAGAGGGGTGGGGTGGGGTGGGTGGCGGTGGATGTATCATAAGGCCTGTCATTGAGTCAACTGGCGTGGTTTCGAATCCCCGGTTGTACGTGACAAGGAGTAGGGTTGCCTGTCCAACCTCGTGGGTTTTCTCCGGGTCCTCCGGTTTTCTCCCACTGCTAAAGACCCCTACGCACAAGCGAATTATTGAAATAAAAATAAACCACGTTAGTCCTGAAATGACCTAGCCTGTGTTGAGTGGACGTTAAACCTCATTTCTCTCTCTCTGTCTCTCTATCTCTGTTCGAAAGAAAAAAATGAATAAAATAGAAATATATTAAGAGAGTTTTTTATGTTTTCTAAATCTTTTTCTTCAGAGAGCCTCATTTATTTGAAGTACTTCATGAAAACGGCAATGTACGATCTTGGAGAGGACCTATAAAAGAAGATAAATTGTGGACACCAAGAAATGTTAACAGCGCTTCGACTTCTAAATCTTTTGCTAAACCTGCTAAAAATCAAATTGACATAAGGTATTAATATTCTTCACGGTGTGCATGCTTTTATTCCATAACCAATTAATAGAAGCAATAATCAATATCGGTTTTTTGCTCAATATAGCCCGGTTGGTGCTGACGTGCAATTAAAACATTTCATTTCAAAAATATTGGTTTACTCATTGATTTCAAATTATATGCCTTGTTTATATTAGTAAGGCGGAGAATTCTGTAGATTTTCCAAGGATCCTCTTAAAATATATATTGGACGCTCTAGCCTGTTTAATTTATCATCGGATTCACTTGATATCTCCATGCCCGCTGTAAAATGTCAGTGTCAGAGAGAACGATTTCAGATAAATTACTTCACGAGTTGTTGTCCCTGTGTACTTATAGTCTTGTAATTCCTCTACTTATCTATAAAAGAATCACAAAGTAACAACGACTTGGCTGCTGTGGACAAATGACTCGTTGTCCGACAACCTATTCGTACGCTCTGTACTAAAATTCAAAGTACTCTGTTTGCTAATAATTTATAATATGACATTTTTTAAACTGATTTTATTTGATTTTCGTTTCGCAGATCAATTTACGCAATTGACGATATGTTGTTAGATTCACATAGAATAAACATGAAACGACGAACTACCAAAAAAGACCCCAAAAGATTTCTCCCAACTAACGTGGAACAACGTAAAGAGAAGGAATATATTCAAAGACACTTACGGGAGGGTCAACCTGCTAATCTGACCAACATGATTATAAAGCATTACTTTCAGGCACCGAAGGTACCCTTTCTTGGGTACGGAATGCCAAGACCCGGTACAAGCGCCGAGTCGGTGAAGAACTGTCAGGTACGAGGTAAAGCTCCAGGCATCGTTGTTGTATCTAACCACAAATCATTGTCTAGTTACGCTCACCATTGTCAACATCATCTAGGGACCAATGGGGAATACTGTGACATCCTCGGACCGGGTTCCTGTTCTGCTTGTATTGAGGAAACCAATCGCTATATAGGTGACGAGATACAGAGGAGGTTGTTCCCGAGGATATTTATGAGTCAGAATTGTCTGGTGGTTCCTAAGTTGTCGCGAACCATGCGCCAAGGCCATATGAAGCAGGTGAGGAAGAAAGGACTTACAGAACTAAGTTTACCACAAAATGAAGTCACCGAAATGTTTAGGAGAAAAGAGACGCCATTGTCTGTAGAAACCTATCATTCGGCTAGACAGTTTAAACAATTTTTACCACATATTTCCCGGCAATTAAACAGTGCTTTCAGAAACGACACGTCTTCAGAACGAAATTGATGATTTAATTTATTTGTTTCTGTCTATTACAGTTGTATAACAACAACACACAAATAAAAGTCCTGTAATCAATATGCATCCGTTTTTACGTCCACGTTCATAATGTGGACGTATTATTAGTGTGGTATAACAGGTCATCCCGTAGGATTTGTATGCTAAAATTGATTTTTTTGTTGTTTTGGGTTGGTGTTGGACCAAGCTATCCAAAAATGTTGGGGTTCAAATTTTCCGACACCTTGACCCCCCCTCCCCTCCCCCTGGGAGAGGCATTTTTGAAATCGGGACCACTATGAATGAGGACATGGCTATCTCCGCCAATAATGGTTGGATTTTCATGATCTGAAGTTCATTCTCGTGTTTTTTCATCATGCCGACCCCATCTATGATACACCTAAAGCGATTGGAAGTAGTTTCATTGACTTCCGGTGGGGAATACTAATTTCCGGTGTCAAATTCAGATTGATTTCAGTCAATAATTTTTACGGTGTCTCAGCCTACCACTTTTTGTGGATTTTGAAGCATGGTAAAATGATTAATATGGTCACTTTTGGGAGACTGGAATGTTCTGTAATGAGATTCAAGACACTTTGACATTTGTAACAAGTAAACAAGTTTAATATCAAAAACAAAAATAATCTTAACAAGCCAGAAGTCGCCAGAAACGAAAGAAAAAGATCCTATCTTGGAAATAAATATATCAATTATTCATCATCTTCGTCCTCCTGCACACCCCTAATCATATTGGTACGGTCCCTATCAAAACACACGCAGAAGGATGTATAAGGCAGACTGCATCGCCCTGTGCAGCCTGTTTTACAACCACATTTTGTGAGTTCAATTACAGCACGATGGGCAGACAGATTAAGATTCGGCACAGGAACATAAATTCCTTTGTCCAACTGCCAGACGCTTTCGTTAAATGGCAGGAAGGTTCAGCGATCGGGTTAGGTAAGACTTGTCGCGTATCCCGGTGTACTTTGTTCCTGTGATATGGGGCAACAATGCAGCACGAGTCCGTGGAAGCATCTCTCTCTCAACCAAGTTTCCTGAACTGAACAATTGCCATCTAAGTGCCGGTAGGTTAAATGGAACAGATGAAGAGTAGACCTGACAGGCAAATCTCTCCAATTCCTTGACCTGCGAAGGCAAGTCACCCTTCTCCAAACCTCTTGAAACAGATGATAACGGGGTCATCACCATCAGGCTTCATGTATGCACCAGCCCTTGTTTTCTTTGTCATGCCCACAAGTTTACCTCTCCAGTAAGCACCAGAGAAGCCGCGAAGTCCAATCAGACCTTGAGACTTATGATTTGCAATGACACCCATTCGCTCGATCACATCTATCTCTAGATCTCTATGTTTTGCGGCCTTCTCGGTTACAAACTTGAGATGACTGCGAATACCGAGACGACCCGGGAGACAAGGTCCATGAGAATTGTGAGGGCATCGGCGTCACGTGATCAAACACATGCTTCCCGCTAGTAACTCTCAGCTACAGATGAAAGATCTAAGAGTTTCTCAATGATGAGAACCCTGTGTGGTGTAGCCTGTTGTATCAAACAGGCTAGAATATGCTGTTGAAGGAGCAAAGGCTCAACCAGTGTCATATGCTAGCCTGGTTGATACAGCACAGGCTACACCACTCAAAGTTCTTATCATTTATGCTATGGCTGTACGTCAGAGTATGAAGAAAAGATCAAACATGTAGAAACTCCCTGACCTACAAGTGACATTCACCATGCGAATCGACTCAGAAGCCACAAAAAGTGGTACTGCGTGATAGATATCTCTAAACTGAAATCGACCCGAGTTTGACACCGAAAATTGGTATTTCCAACCGGAATTCAATAAAAAATACTTCCATTCGCTTGAAGTGTGTCATACATGGGGGCGCCATGATGAAGAAAAACACCCAGAATGAACTTCAGATCATGAAAATCCAAAGATTATTGGCTGAAATCAATCCGAGTTTGACACCGGAAATTGGTATTTCCCACCGAAAGTCAATGGAAACTACTTAAGTGTATCATAGATGGGGTCGGCCTGATGAAATAAAAACCAGAATAAACTTCCGATCATGAAAATCCAAAGATTATTGGCTGAAATCAATCCGAGTTTGATACCAGAAATTGGTATTCCCCACCGGAAGTTAATGAAAACTACTTCCAATCGCTTTAAGTGCATCATAGATGGGATCGGCATGATGAAAATCCAACCATTATTGGCGGAGATAGCCATGTTCTCGTTCAGAGGGGTCCCGATTTAAAAAATCCCCCTCCCAGAGGGGTCAAGGGGTCAGAAAATTTGAACCCAAACATTTTTGGATAGCTTGGTCCCTAATCAACCCAAAACAACAACAAAATCAATTTTAGCATACAAATCTTACGGGTGCTGTTTTAATGACATGTCATACCACACTTCATGCCGTCGCCCCTGTCTCTGTGTGTGTGTGTATATATAGGATGTGTGTCTGTGTGTCGCCTAGTACAGGGCGCAATTCTTAACGGATTGTCTTGAAACTTTGCATACTTATTCCTTATACCCTAATGATGGTCCCTATGTTGTTTTTGGTGCATGCCCGACCCCAGGGACAGAACCACGCTCATTTTTGTATTTGTTTGTCGCCCACAGACCGCATTTCATAACGGATGTCTTGAAACTTTGCATACTTATTCCTTATATCCTAAGGCTCATCTCTAGTGTTTTGGTGCATGCCTAACCCCCAGGGACAGAGCCACGCCCTTTTTCTCTTTGTGTGTCTGTGTATCGCCTACAGGTCGCACTTTTCAATGAATCGTCTTGAAAACTTTTCATACATATTCCTTATACCCTAAGGATGACCTTCATTATTTTTGGTGCACGCCCGACCCCCAGGGACAGAGTCAGACCCAATTTGTGTGTGTGTGTGTGGGGGGGGGGGGTAGAGTGATCCCCTTGAAACTCTATATTCCTATTTCCTATTCCTTATACTCTAAGGCTGATCCCTATTGTTTTTGGTGAATGCCCAGCCCCCAGGGGCAGAGCCACACTCATTTTTTCTTTGTGTGTCTGTGTGTTTGCTACATGCCACACATCTTATTGGATCGTCTTGGAACTTGGCATATGTATTCCTTATAGCCTAAGGACGGCAACTATTGAGTTTGGTGCATGTCTCGCCCCCAGGGGCAGGGCCACGCTCAAGTTTTATATTTGTCTTGGGAAAGGAAGGTATTAAAGTTAGTAGAAAATTTAAATGTAAAGCACGAGCTTAATTTATGTGACGGTAATAAATCTGATTTTAAATCTTTGTGTGAAAAATTATTTATAACTGATCAATCTATAGTGGTTTTCAAAACTGTGGGATGATAGAAACTGTACAAATGGAAATAAATTGAGAACGTATATGTTGTTTAAAAATGATCTAAAAGTTGAGGATTATGTTATTTGTGTCATGACCAGATCCCAGAGGTGTTATAAGTAAACTTAGATGCGGTATTCTTCCTCTATGAATAGAAACGCGTTGCTATTCTAAACCCCCAATTCCACTAAATAATCGCATATATACTTTGTGCTCGTCATATATCGAAAACGAAATCCATGTTTTAATTGAATGTGATGTCTACTCAGATATCCGGAAGAAACTATTTGTAAATCAGGATGTTAAGAATATATCTTTAAAAGAAATGTTTTTAAGTATTTTAAACATGATTAATAGCATTACTCTCGCTAATTGTGTTTTAAACATATTAAAACGAATATATTTTATCAAAGATACATTATGTAAGATTTAGATAAAGAGTTAGCCATTCTTGCTATAATAGTTCGAAAATAGATAATGTAAAATGAATAATTTGAAAATTTCATTCAAATTACTCTATTGCGAGCGAAGATATTAGAGGTTTGACAAGACGTGTGCAATGATTTCAACCACCGTACTTAAATCAAGATATGGCTGAACCGTTCTAATCTATTTAATATCGGAGAAATCCGATGCCATCGAGAGTTGATTATGGCCTGGATAAGTTAATTAATGTCTAATTAATAATTTAGAAAACATTCCGGGTCTAAAGAAAGACCTGCAATAGTCAGATTTAACTCTTGCATAATGTATGTTTAATTTATTAGTTCATTAATTTTATTTAATTATTTAGTATTTTTAACGATTTGATTTTAGAGAAACGTATCTCGTAAGTCGATATGGGCGGGACACTGCTATTGTTTTATGTATATGTTATATAATGTATATATATATTATTGTATGCAATGTATGACACTATAATAAACAAATTACTTACTTACGTATACAGGTCGCAATTCTGAAGGGATCATCTTGGAACTTTGCATATGTAACCTTTGATTTTGGCGGTAACCTTTGATTTTGGTGCATGTCCCGACCCCCAGGGGCAGAGCAGAGCAACGCCCAATTTTTGTGTTTAGCGCCTGAAGGCCACAATTCTGAATGGATTATTTTGGAACTTGGTATACGCATTCCTTATACCCTAAGGAAGGCAACTACTGATTTTGGTGCATGATCCGACCCCCTTGGGCGGTGCCACACCCACCTTTTGTTTATATTTTGTCTGTAAATAATCTTCAGGCTGCAGTTATTGGATCAAATTCGGCATGATGGCCGCTTGAGGGTAGTACTGTATCTTGGTGGTGACTAATATGTTAATTTTCTAACACGGTGCTTTAAGTACTGGACTTATTTTTGGTATACTACTTCTTAAGGACTATAACTTTGGATAGCAGAAATTGAAGTTTTTAAAATATTTAGTGATTTTTGTGATATAGACAGTTTTAGTTTTAAATGTCATTTTTAGTGAACACTAATTATGATAACCTACGCCTAACAACAACTTTTATCCCTGAACTCTAATCAAAACCTCAGTAAGACTGCATTGTTTACTGAGTTCCCTGAGTTAAAACCTAGCAAAAGTTCACATCTCACACCTATAAATTACCTATAAAACTAGAAGACAGAGAAACAATAGAGGATTTAACCTGACCAATTTGACACAAGTGAAATTTCAGTCATCTCAAAATGTTAAAGCCAATCTCGACTGTGGACTTTGGAATGCTCGGTCTCTTACCAACAAACTTGGCGCCTTCACTACTTCAGTTATCAACAACCAAATCGATTTTTACATGGAAGCCGAAACCTGGACTATATGAACTTCCGGTTGGGATAAGCAGCGCGGGTTTTCAGGTCTGATAAAAATTGATAAAAATTTAGTTAAAATCGCGCCGACGAGGTTGGATTCATGATAATAAACTCGACAAAAAGCAAGGACTACTGAAATTTCACAGTTTTAGCTTAAAGATGAATCTGGAAAAGGATGACACAGAAAAAAACACTGACGTCTTGACCGATGGAAACAACTGAAAACCAAAATAGTAAACAAAAAGTTACATGTAGAAAGAAAATAATAAATTCAACAAAGTTAACAAACAACGAGGATGAAGGTTGGTTATGTGAACTGTGTAATATTAACTATAAGAAGAAAACTGTATGCAAAAGTGATTTATCAGTTTATCAGTTTTCTTCTTAAAGTTAATATTACACAGTTCACATAACCAACCTTCATCCTCGTTGTTTGTTGACTTTGTTGAATTTATTGTTTTCTTACTACATGTACATATGACTCCCAAGTTATATAATCAGCTGAGTAGTAGGCCAGACATAAAATGATTTTGCCCACTATGTAATGAAAAAGTAGAAAAAAACCTTAAAACAGATAGACAAATTGAGGAAAAATGCAGATTAGTTTTAAAAACATTTGAAAATAGGTTAGAATCACTAGAATACAAAGCTGAGCATTTTGTGACCGTTGAACAAGTTAATGATATTATTTCAAAAAGCGAGGATGTCAATAATGCACAGGACACAGAGTCTAGCATTAGTGATGCAGTACTAAAAGAGGTAACAGAAAGAGAGAAAAGGAAAAACAACGTAATTATGTTCAAAGTTCAAGAGCCCATGACAAATATTAAATTTGTCAAGGACTTGGGAGAGGAAATTAATGTAGAAATTAGTGATGATGATATAGTGAAGGTAGTCCGTTTAGGCAAAAAGAAAGAAACTCAGGAGGGAAATGAGTCTGAAGACAACAATAGACCACTATTAATTACATTCAGCAATGAAAATACTAAAAAGAACCTATTTAAAAATGTATCTAAATTGAAAGATGTTTCGGGTGTTCTCAGAAATGTTTCTGTAGACCATGATATGACACCAAAGGAAAGAGATGAGACTAAGGCATTAATGAAAGAGGCAAAAAAGAAAGAGGAAGAATCGTCGGGGAAATTCACCTACAGAGTTCGAGGACCCCCCTGGGACAGGTATATAAAGAGAATGATACACAAAGAGTAAAAGAAAGAGATGACTTTGTACTGAGTTTTAGAAAGCCAGAGCACCGTTTTGTTAAAAGTTCGTTGCACAAATTGGAAAATTCTAAGCGTTTATTGCACAAGTTTGAAAACATTAAGTGTAGATACACAAATGCAGATTGCATTACAAATAAAATATCTGAGCTCCGATTATTAACGAGAAACCATAAACCTAGTATTTTGGGTATAACAGAGATAAAACCTAAAAACTGTAGATATAGTGTAACAGATGCTGAGATAGCACTTAAGGGGTATGACATGTTTGGTTGTAATATTGGAAATAAAATTGGAAGAGGAGTAGCGATATATGTGAAAAACAATATACAAGTTAACCCAGTTGAATTTAATAGTGATTATCAGGAAGCTGTTTGGATAAGTATTAAACTAGCTGGGGGAGATAATTTACTTGTTGGCTGTATTTATAGAAGTAGTAGTGGAACAGACAGTAATAATGATGAATTAATAAATCTTTTAAATGAGATTCACGATGCAAAATATAGTCACATATTAATTATGGGGGACTTCAATTTCGAGAAGATAAACTGGAATACATGGACAACCCAGTCATCAGAAAACCAAATAGACTTTAAGTTCATAGAGAAAATTAGAGACTGTTATTTGTTTCAACATATAACAAAAGCAACAAGAGCAAGAATTGGTCACGAACCACATGTTTTAGACTTGATTCTAACGAACGAAGAGGGTATGGTAGCAGATATAGAATATTGTAGTCCACTGGGCAAAAGTGACCACTCAATTATTAACTTTATTTTTAATTGTTATATACAACAGGAAAATACAGAAAGAGTGAAATACTACTATGATAAAGCAGATATTATAGGGATGAAACAAGAACTATTCACAACAGACTGGAAAGAAATACTAACCCGTAAAGATGTAAATGAACAGTGGAAAATATTTAAAGAGACACTACTGATCATTCAAGACAAATATGTACCAAAACGTAAGTCACGTAACACAAATGATAGAAAGGGAAAGACAAATATTGACTTTAAAACTTTGAAAGTAATACGTAAAAAACATAGATGTTGGTCACGATTTATGGAAACTCGAGATAGTGAAAAATACCAAGAATATTGTAAACTTCGAAATCAAGTGAAAAACCTAACTGGAAAAGCCGTCAGAGAGAAGGAAAAAGAAATTGCTAAAGATATTAAGAAAAATCCTAAAAAGTTTTGGCAATATACCAAATCAAAAACTAAGACAAGAACTGGAATATCAGACTTAATCACGAAAGAATACGATGACACAGAAAAGTTAACTAACAGTGATAAAGAAAAAGCTAATACACTGTCAGAATTCTTCTCTAGTGTATTTACAGTCGAAGACAATGATGAATGTCCAAAATTGAGTGATATTAATATACAAATAAAAATGGAATACTTAATAATAAGGGAGGAGAAAGTAAAGACACGGCTGCATGACTTAAATATAAGTAAATCTCCAGGTCCTGACGGTATACATCCTAGAATGCTACACGATCTATATGAAGAATTAAGTAAGCCAGTGACAATCATATTTGAAAACTCAATAAAATCAATGGTAATACCAGATGAATCTCGAGAAGGATGCATCACTGCTTTATTTAAAAAAGCTAACCGAAAACTTGCGTCAAATTATAGACCAGTAAGTCTTACTTGTATTCTATGCAAGCTGTTAGAAACATTTATTCGTGACCACGTAGTCGACCATATGAAGAGAAACATATTATTTTCACACAAACAATTTGGCTTTATATCAGGCCGCTGAACAGTTCTACAATTACTACACGTTTTAGAAAAATGGACAAAACTACTAGACGAGGGAGGTAGCCTTGACTGTGTATACTTAGATTTTATGAAAGCATTCGATAAAGTGCCACATAAACGCCTACTATACAAACTAAGAAGATATGGTATATCACATGAATTGATCAACTGGATAGAATCCTTCCTACATAACAGAAAACAGAGAGTAAGAGTTATGAACAGTTACTCTGAATGGACCCCCGTAACCAGTGGAATTCCCCAGGGAAGTGTGCTAGGACCCATTCTATTTGTTATTTACATAAACGACCTGCCTGACAATATAAAATCTGATTGCTACATGTTTGCAGATGACACCAAAGTATTTAAAGATATCAACTCTCAAGAAGATAATGATACACTACAGGAGGATATGCAAGAACTCGGAAATTGGTCTGACAAATGGTTACTACGTTTCCACCCGGATAAATGTAAGGTGATGTCAGTAGGAAAACGACACATCCCGAAATACACATATCGACTGTGTAATACTGTACTACAATTTACAATTAAAGAAAAAGATATTGGAGTTGTGGTGGATGACCTTTAAAATTTGAAGAACACATGAATGAAAAAATTAATAAAGCAAATAGTATTATGGGAATTATACGTCGCACTTTTACGTTTCTAGATGAGTCAACCTTTCTGATGTTATATAAAGCCTTAGTAAGACCGCATTTAGAATACGCTAACTCAGGATGGAATCCATATAAGAAGAAACATATTACAGCAATAGAGAATGTACAACGGAGGGCGACTAAGCTAATACCAGGATTTAAAGAAATGACCTACGAAGATCGTCTAAAGAAACTGAAATTACCAACATTATCATACAGGAGGAAACGTGGAGACATGATAGAAGTGTTCAAACTTACATCTGAAAAGTATGACACAGCTCTACCACCACTACTTGTACCAGTAAATGACAAAGTAACAAGAGGTCACAGTAAAAAACTTTACCAACATAGGTCAAACAAAGCTATTCGTAAACACTACTTTACAAACCGTATAATCAACACCTGGAATAGTCTACCAGAGAATGTGATAAAGGCAAAAAACACGAAAATATTTGAACATAGACTGGATAAATTCTGGAATGAACAAGAACTATTGTATAATTATGAATCCAACCTCGATATCAGAAGAGACTTTCAAATAAATGAAAACGAAGAACTGAGTATAGTGGCCAAAGGCCAGCACTCAGAAGAGGTCCTGTAAGTACCTGTAAGTATGCTATTGACCCTACAATCGGTGAAATTTTATATGGTTTGTCTGGTTATACTTTTGTTCACGAACATCGTCAATTTCGTAAAGGAGGTGGTGTGGGACTTTTGACCAGAACAAATCTAAGAGTAAAGAAGAGGAAATCGGTGAAATTCAAATCTTTCCAATACCTTGTAGCTACCATCAAAACCAAGAGTGAGTTATTCAATGTTTTTATTGTGTACAGATCGCCTTATTCGTCAAAAAACAAGTTCACAGTTGAAGACTTTACCTCTGAATTTAGATCACTTTTAGAAGTCTCTATCTCCCCCAGCTAGGCCACCTATTGATTGGAGGAGACTTCAATGTGCATTGTGAATCGTCTAAACCCGAAGCACTGAAATTGATGGACCTAGTTACCTCTTTTCGGCTTATTCAGCACATTAAGCAAGCTACGCATGACAAGGGTCATATGTTTGATTTACTGCTGACAAGGGATTCAGATGATATCGTAAGCCACATTAACATTGGAAATGAGTTACCTTCAGACCACAGTGAAATTCTCATAAACCTTAACATTACTAGACCAGCTAATCAAAAGAAAACCATCAAATGCAGAATGCTTGTAGACTTGGACCATAATTCATTGAAAGACACTTTAAAGGAATCATTGGATAAACCCAAACCCTATTCCGGTTGAATGGCAGATCACTACGAGTCGGTCATTAAGACTGTCCTGGATAAATTAGCGCCGTTTTCAACAAAGACTATAAAAGTTAAACCCAGAGCTCCTTGGTTCACTCCAGATCTGTCAGGAAAATTGTGCGAAAAGCAGAGAGACAGCTTAAATCCCATGCTCGTGAGATTGACAAACAGATTTTCAAAGCCGAAAGGAAGAAATACAACAACCTTCTCGAACAAACCAGAATGGAATACCAACGAAATCAGATTCAAGAAGCAGACTCGAAAGGACTCTTTAAGATTTGTGAGAAACTAATTGGTCAAAAAAGTACTGTCAGCAATATCTTTCCGTGCACAGCATTATCGGAACAGGCCCCTGCAGAACTGCTTTCAGACTTCTTTATCGAAAAGATCAACAAACTACGTGAAAAGTTTGATTCAAGTACCTCCAGTGAATTACGGAAGGAAAACTGTCACTCAAGATTGGAAGTTTTCAAGCCAGCCTTCCAAATCCTGTGAACTGGATCCAATGCCTATCCTAGACCCTTTCATTACAGACCTGATAAATGAATCCTTGTTGACAGGAGTCGTGCCAGATACTTTTAAAACTGCCACAGTGAGACCGCTTCTTAAAAAGACATGTTTGGATCCAGACATTCTTAAGAATTATCGACCCGTGTAAAACCTGCTTTTTGTGTTCAAAATCCTTGAAAAAATGGTTATATTCCGCTTAAGAAATTATCTATGTGACAATTCGTTATATTTTAAGTGTCAAAGTGCATATCGGCCTAACCATAGTTGTGAAACCGCACTACTACGAGTTCACAGTGACATTGTTAATGCCCTAGATTCGCGATCGCATGTTATTATATCAATGCTTTATCTGAGCGCAGCTTTTGATACTTTGGATCATGAAATTCTGTTGTCTCGGCTGCAAAATCGTTTTGGCATATCTGGAAGTGTTCTCGGATGATTTTCGTCATACCTGAGAAATAGAAGTCAACCCGTTGTTATTGGAAATGGTCATACTTCTTCACGGCAGTACTTGAAGCGCGGTGTACCACAGGGGACAGTTTTGGGTCCTGCTCTTTTCACCCTGTATACCTCTCCCATAGAAGACATCATTGCCAGACACGGTATAGAATCCATGATATATGCTGACGATACTCAGGTTTATATAGCGTGTAAAAGTCTTGACAGTGTAACTGCTTCGGTGGAAGCATGTCTAGATGAAATCCGATCGTGGATGTACGGAAATAGACTAGTTCTCAATGATGCTAATACCGAGGTTATGCACTTAAGTCACGTTTTGATGACTCGCAAATGATCAAATCTATTCGCGTCGGTGACGAAGCCATCACACCGTCCACATCCGTACGGAATTTAGGAGTGATATTTGATTCTAACTGCTCGATGGAGAGTTTTGTGTCTCAAGCATGTAAAAGTATATCTTTCGCTCTATTCAAAATTGGCAGAATTTGTAGACTTCTTGGAATGAAATCCATCGAAAAACCTGTTCATGCAATGATAACATCTAGATTAAACTATTGCAATTCCCTTTATTACAATATGAGTACCCCACAATTTAAAAAACTCCAAAGCTTGCAGAATGCCACTGCCAGAATAGTTAATCTGCCACGGAAGTTTGATCCCATCACTCCGATACACTATAAACTGCACTGGCTCCCAATTGTTGAAAGATGTGAATTTAAAGTACTTCTGGCTATTTTTAAAATGGTCAATAATAAAGCCCCTGCATATCTAAACGAACTTGTATTGGTGAAACGCCCACTTGTATCAACTAGGTTTACACAAGCGCCGTCTCTAGTTTACCCTCCCAAAAAAATATAAATATAAATTTTATGGTGATAGAATATTTAGTCATTATGTCCCTACTCTATGCAACTCTGTACCTCCTGAAATGCGTTCTGAAACTAATATTGGTGTTTTTAAATCCACAATTAAAAGAATCCTTTTTAAACGACATTTTGTTCTTTCATCCATGCACTAATCTATTCTTTATGTTACATTTAATTTTTAAACATCTTTTAAACGTACAGTGAAATTATCATCCATATATTAATTTGCGTTTTAAAATATTTATGGTTCATTGAATTTAATTTTTAGATTTTTAAATGTGAAATGTAATTGTTTTTTTATGGAATATTTTGTTTTAATAATTATTAAGCTTTCATATTACATATGAAAGCTTATTGTTTCTGTTAAGATTATTATTAAGCTTTCATATTACATATGAAAGCTTATTGTTTCTGTTAAGATTATTATTGTTATTTTTTTTTTGTGTTTTGTCCACAAATCGGATTTCTCAGAATCTAACCATAGGATCGTTCTGAAACTTTTACCTATCCCCCCAAAAATGGGTGGTGGCTGTTGATTAAATATATTTTCAAAACGTTTTACGAATCCGAAATCACCGAATTTTACGAAGGAATGTATTTGACCTACAATGCTGTAACTTTGTGACTATTTGACCTATTTTACTAATTCTTTTTTCTTTGAGTATCTTGAAACATTTACTTCAAATCTGCAATTTCGGATTTTGGCATTTCGAAAATTCGTCGCTGTCATTTCGAACCGGAAGTTATTACCAATTTGACAACTTCTTTAATAGTTGTGCGATTTTCGTGAAATTTAGAATGTTAGTAGATCTTGCCAATGCGACTTCAATGATGTCCTTGGAAATTTTCTAAATTATCTCCCCTTGGTGAAATTAAGGATCAAAGTTTTCAAAAAAATCGTCGAAATATAGGTCAGAATGACCTAAAAAAAAATTCGATACTAGACAAGTAATTACTGATTCGTACACAAAATATGGAGTTTGTCGATCGAACCGGAAGTGCCACCATCTTTAAACGTGAAAAATCAAAAAGGCTTTTTTGCTATTTTACTTACAGACTCGGGCGTCATATTTTCGGAATCCTGGAAGGAATACCTAAAAATCTATCGGATCAGAATTTTGATTTCGGTCACGTGATGGTCACCATTTTGAATTGAAAATGAAAAATAGAAGCAATTTGAAGGGCCGGGACTTTGGAACACAAGAACTCTCCGTCTAATTAAGCTAGAATGTTCAAACTTGGTGTAGGCGTTCACTAGGTCAATGTCATGATTGAGTTCAAAGATGAGCATTTTTTGCCTAGGGTAAGCAGAGATAAGCAAGCTGATTTGTTGATTCTTTAGGGCACGATGACATTGGTTATAATGAATGGAGGGCGATGAAACTCTTGTCAATCGAGAGGCTAATAGCTGGCCTGTTGTGTGAAATCATTGTATCATTTTTTATTCGAATTTCTCCTTTGATGTTTTCCGTGCCGACAAGGTTGTT